TATTCCCAGCATATTTCGTTCCATTGAGCATTGTGCCACCTGCAGTTTTCTTATAATGTCCGTTTCAAGGGTCCAGGTCATGACTGGTAGTACACATTGGTCGAAGGTTCTCTTCTTTAGATAAAGTGGCATTCTAGATTTGAACATGATTAAGTTTCTTCCTTAAGAGAGACCTATTAATATATATTTTTGTATCAAACTGTAAGAATTATGAGAAATATTTACATATCTATCCCGTAAGTTTGAGGTTCGCATTTTTTTCTTAGGTTAAATTTGTTGAGATTTGTTTCGTAATATGACCATGGCAACCATCACCAAAAATTTTGCTGGTAAGCTGCTTTGCTCGAATTGCAGCACCCATACCAGCAGGGCCTCCCCCAATAATCTCTTTTTCATATATTTATCTAAATCAAGGGACAATGTGCACTTTTGTCTTCTTAAAATTCTCTTTACTTATTTCTCTAGGTACTTTCGATTACAGTTTTTTCACAGGTTCAATACAGATGACACACTCAAAATAAACGTTAACTTGTGACCACCTACAGATATAATAATATCCGCATTCAAAAAAGTTTCTTTTTCTTTAGGCACTTGAACAAAGATTTGATTAATCAACTTGAAATTTTGAAGGTCTTCCTCCATTTTACTTTTAGTATATTACTCGGTATATTACATTTAATATGTCCAGGTGGCTGGTAAAGGTTTAGCACTGCCTATCGTTTTCGTAATATTACGAATTTCGGCTGGAGGTGGCTAGGTTATGTTAAGTTCAAAATTGTACATTCTCTTTCTAAGGTCCATTCCTCTTTCAAAGGTATCTTTTGGGCTTCCATCTTTGGCTATACCGACATCACTGGTGGCAATGCCTATTATTAAAAAAAGTAAAGAGTAAAAGTAACGAGAAAATATCGGGAAGTGTTTGGCTATACGACGATCCAACCAATAAGAATTATTTTTTCTGTCATCATACAGGGTGGCGCCTCTCATACGCCGCGGAGGCTCCAAGGAGAACGACAGTTTGTATTGAAATGAAATTTTGTGAGCATATGTAGGTTAATTCAGAGCACTTTTTAAAAATATAGAGAGTTCTACAGGGTGTCCCCCAAAAAAGTTACATATCAAAGATGTGTTTTTTGTAATGGAACACCCTATATATTAATTGATTTTCGGATTCTGGGCAAAAAATAAAGGTGAGTTTTATAAGAGAAGTATATGACTAAAATGTAAGGTTTTTGACATATTTAACATTTTCTAGAAATAAAGCACAATTTTTAAATTACAATAAAAGCTACCTAAATGAGAATTTACCCGGTATAGCCTAATATGTAGTTAAATTAACTATAGTACTTTAAATCAAATTAAAACTTGATCCAAAAAGTTATACAGGGTGAGACAAAATTAATATTGAACATTGGTCACATTTAAAAGCATGTTACTCTCTTATTTTAAATGGAACACCCAGTATATTATTCCGATATTCAATGGAGAATTCATGTCTCTTCAAAATACTATTAAGGTTGTCTACCCCTCAAACAAAGATTTTCCTAGATATTTTTATTTACATGATTTGATCTGAGTAGATCTTTATTATTTGATAAAATCTAGGTGGCTATGATATGTCTGACGTTACTTCAACATAGCTGTCTAATTAGTCCAACTTTAACAACTAGTTATCATTTTGTGTCAGTTAAAACAAAAAAATTTCTCAGAAATTTGCTGAAATTGCAAACTTATTTTACATCGGAGAAAATTGATATGATTCTCTTAGTTATAAAGAGAATACTTAAATGCTCCTGATTTTATCTAGTCTGGGTTTTTTTATGGGGATATGTTAAAAACAGTGTTTACAAAACTCGACCAACTAGTGTCGACATGAGAGAAATTATTGTAGCTGATTTTCGGAGGTAGAACTCCATACAGGGTCCGGCAATAGTGCGTCGGGCATCTGTAGCTTCTAGAATAAAAAACTTGAGAATTTTGTTTAAGTGCGAACCTAAAGTATGTGCCAGGATGTATTTCAAGAAAATATTTTAACTTCTATAGGGTGGCTCAAAAAAGTGTGAGTGGACCTTGATGATTTTTTTTAAATGGAATACCCTGTATATTATTGCAATTTTGGCTTCCTTTCAGATCACTTTACATAACCCTAAGATATGAATAAATATATTTTGATAGTTTCAGAGATATTAAAAAATAAATAAAAAATATGTATTTTCAGCCCTTCTTAAAAAAAATATTAAAAATACAAGAACTGTCCTGAAATCAAAACTATATTAGGTATTTACTTTAGATGGTCTGTACTTACTTTGCTATAAATATGAAAATCGTAAATTATACAGAATGTTCAAAATTCTGCGCCAAACTTTCTAAAATATAAAATAATATTTCCTCGTTTTTTTAAATAGAACACCCTGTATATTATTTTTTCAATAGACGGAGAATTAAAAAATGAACATTTTTTGTATTTAGAATATTTCAAAATTTTTAACGGTTTCGCAGATATTTGCGGTTTTATATTTCATATGGCATTTTCCACAGTAAATTTTTATCAAAGCTACCTATTGATTTTTCTCTCGTATTTTACCATTGAAAGCGCCATATGAAATAATACTGCGCGTATCTGCGAAACCGTTCAAAATTTTGAAATACTCTAAATACAAAAATGTTCATTTTTAACTCTTCATCTAATAAAAAAATAATATACAGGGTGTTCCATTTAAAATAACAAAGAAAAATTATTTTATATCTTAGAAAGTTTGGCTTAGAATATTGAACATCCTGTATGATATACGATTACCATATTTATAGCAATGTAAGAACAGACTATCTAAAGTAAATACCTAATATAGTTTTGATTTGAGAACAGTTCTTGTATTTTTAATATTTTTTTAAGAAGGGCTGAAAAATACATATTTTTTATTTATTTTTTAATATCTCTGAAACTATCGAAATATGTTTATTCATATTTTAGGGTTATGTAAAGTGATCTGAAAGAAAGCCAAAAATGCAATAATATACAGGGTGTTCCATTTAAAAAAAATCATCCAGGTCCACTGACACTTTTTTGAGCCACCCTATAAAAGTTAAAATTTTTCCTGAAATACATCCTGGTACATACTTTAGGTTTGCACTTAAACAAAATTCTCAAGTTTTTTATCCTAGGAGCTACAGATGCCTGACGCACTATTGCCGGACCCTGTATATGCCTTTTAAAATGAAAAGATCCTTTTGAAAAGACAATCAATCATTTTATGCAGTAAACAGGAAGGGAAGCATTTTGAGCATTTGATTTCATCTAGCTAATTTTTGTCGCATAATTATAGGTTTATATCTAGTTTTAATTCTGTAATAACTAAAATATGTTTTAAACGCGTATCTTTTTATTACCCTTGTGTATTTTACCCTACAATCTTTAATTCTTGTTAAATTAACAAAAGGTATATCACACAGCAACCTAGATTTTTTCAAATATTAAAGATTTACTGACGTAAAATCATAAAAATTAAAATATCTGGGAAAATCTTTGTCTGAGGGGTAGGCAACCTTAATAATATTTAAAGATATATAAATTCCCCATTGAACACCGGAAAAATATACTGGGTGTTCTATTTAAAATAAAGGAGTAACTTGCTTTTAAATGTGTCCAATGTTCCATATTAATTTTGTCTCACCCTGTATAACTTTTCGGGTCAAATTTCAATTTGGTTTAACATACCAATATAATATACAAGGTCAACTAAAATTTAGGTAGCTGTTATCTAAATTTAAAATATACTCTTTATTTTCACAAAATGTGAAATATGTCAAAATCCTTAGATTTTAGGTATATGCTTCTTCAATAAAACTCACCTTTATTTTTTTCCTAGAATCCGAAAATCAATTAATATATAGGGTGTTCCATTAGAAAAAACACAACTTTGATGTGTAACTTTTTTTGGAGACGCCCTGTATAATTCTATATATTTTTATAAAATGCTTTCAGTGAACCTACATACGCTGCCAAAATTTCGTTTCGATATAAACTACCGTTCTCCTTGGAACTTCTGCGGCGTATGAGAGGCGCCACTCTGTACAATGCACAGGTGACAAAACTTTTTGACCACATGATAATATATAGAAAAATTTATAGAAATATAATTATAATTTTTTATAGAAATATAGACAATTTTGACCAGATGAATATATAGAAAACATAACTACCTTTTGCACTGCTATACTGTTGATCAACTAATTCCGATGCTGTAATTCCTAAAAAAATATCCACACCCAACTCGTCAGCTTGTTTCCCTAACCATATAGGTACAACATTCCCTAACTTAACAATATAATTGCCATGATTATACATCTGGGTGCCTGTAAAAAGAATTAAATAATAAATCCGAATAGAAATACCATTAATTTATTGTTAGTTACCAGTGTTCCCAACTACTGCTTGTTAAAAATGCAAATTTATCCTCTGTTACAGGTACTAACTCAACAGGTATTACTCACCCTAAAATATGACTGAAAAGTAGATCTTATTCTTAAAAGATGATAATTTTACCTACTTTTACTTCCTTCCCATCTGCTTCGATAAGCTGCTTTGCTCGAATTGCAGCACCCATACAAGCAGGGCCTCCTCCAATAATTAATATGTCCATCTCATCTACATCTCTTTTCATATATTAATCTAAATGAAGGGACAATGTACACTTTTGTCTTCTTAAAATTCTGTTTACTTAGGTTCGTTCGATTACAGTTTTTTCACAGGTTCAATACCAGATGACCCACTCAAAGTAAACATTAACTTGTGCCCACCTACATATATAAAATTAGTCCCATTCAAAAAAAGTTATTCTTCTTCAGGTTTTCTTCTTTCTTTCTTCCTCCATTTTAACTTTTAGTCTATTACATTTAATATGTCCAGGTGGCAAAGGTATAGCACTGCCTATCGTTTTCGTAAAATTACGAATTTCGGCTGGAGGTGGCTTCTGTGAACCGGTTATATTTTCAGATTTTGCTTAAAGTTTATTCCTCGATTCGTCCCTTGCAACGCCAGTCAGTGATTCCTTATTGAGACTTTTCAGTAAAAAGTCTAATCGTCTATCAGCGTTCGATAGAGTCGGTCTTACAGCTGGGCTATTAGAACTGAGAACTGTAACAGACTTATTTTCTTTGCAACTTGTTTTTGCTATTGTTTGACAACGCTGGACTGTAAGCTGATCAGTAAGAAATGAATGATTTTTCCGAGTTCTGTCCCACAGAACCCTTACCAAAACTACTTTGGTTAACTAATTCCAGAGAACTTGGACTGATAGGCGTTGACGGCGGGTGTGTTAGACCTTTCGTAGCATCGTCTTTAACTTGGCAGTAGACTGATTCATTTTCGGTTGTGTTTGTTGCATTAGATTTTGTAGATCTTTCACTGCATCGACTTAAAAATGGTTGAATAATATCTGATGGTTTAGCTGCTACATTTTGATCTGCTTCTACTGTTGCTGGCGCATGCTGTTTTTGCCTTACCCTAAGCACACGACTTTTTCTTCTCCCGTATCTCTGACTGGGTTTCCTCTCCAACTGAACCGTTCTATCTCTGTTCTTGTACGTGTTTTGGTATTCTGTCGGATTATCAGAATGTCGAATTTTTCGAAAGAAATTCGGTCTAACAGATGGTTCCTTAACTTGTGCTCTTAATCGGAAGAATCCGTTTCGTTCTAAAAAACGTTTGCTCTGGTTTGCCTCTCTCTTTCCTTTTTCTTCTTAAAATTCAGTTTACTTATTTTAGGCCAAAAAAGAACCCGAGAGATTTCAATATTAGGTTCTTCAAAAACAAGAATTCCTGTATGAGACAATCCCAATTTATATTGCCTGCTATGTTTTCGAAAGACTGTGTGCATGTCAACACCGTACATTTCGATCGATTTGGCTTCGTTTAAATGCGCCAATTCAGCATTCCGTCTGGTTTGGAACTAACCTAAATTCGGACATTCTGTTCAGGCTGTAAAGCACTTGAAGCTAACTTTACTGATATATCTGGCGGGAAATCTAATCTGCCTTCTAAAATATCTTGTTTCAACTGTAAAGAAACAGAAGAATAAAACTTCACTTCCAATTGCAAAGTATAGGGTGGCTCAATTTTAATTTCCTTCTTAATGGTTTTTGTTAGATGCAGCCAATATTTCGCACTGCATTTCGTTGCATATGTAAATTGTAGTCTGAAATAGTATTTATCGATGAGATCTGACGAGTAAAAACTTGTTCGTATTCTACTCCTAGGCTTTTGCTTTTTTCGATAATTCCACATTTATATCTGAGCCATCCAGAAGTACAATTTTACACTGTATTAAATTTCTATTAGATTTTCTACTGGCGTTTCTGCGACTTGATGAATTTGTTCGAGATTCACTGTAATCTCCTAATTCAGGCTCTAAAACATACAAAGCCAACTTTACTGATATATCTGGCGGGCAATCTAATCTACCTTCTAAAATATCTTGTTTCAACTGTAAAGAAAACTGATATCTCGTTAGTTCCTTCCTCAGATTGTTGGGTTCAGAAGAATAAAACTTCACCTTCAATTGGAAAGTATAGGGTGGCCCAATTTTAATTTGCTTCTTAATGGTTTTTGTTGGATGCAGTCAATGTTTCGCATTGCATTTTGTTGCATATGTAAATTTTAGGCCGAAATAGTCTTTCTCGATGAAATCTAAGGAGTAAAATACTTGTTCGTATTCTACTCCCAGGCTTTTGCTTTTTTCGATAATTCCACACTTATATCTGAGCCATCCAAAAGCACAACTTTGTACTGTATTAAATTTTTATTACAGTTTCTACTGGCGTTTCTGCCACTTGATGCCACTAAAAAGGCTGTATAACAACCTGTATAGTTAGAATAACTATTGTTATTCTAACATCGTTGGGCATATTATGCCCCTTAACATCGACAGATCTTGAAAAGAGAGTCTTTATGCATAGCTCAGGGCCGATACATCGTTTTACATGGGTGACCTTCAACAAATTAGAGACAAGCTGCAATTTTGCATGGAGCTTCATTTTGTAGATCTTTAAACATCCTGAAACTCCAGCGATGAACCGTTGAGCTCGTCACCCCAAAACCACCCCTACAAGGGGTAAAAATGGCCCTTCTTTTACTTTTTCTTCAATAACTCTAAAACTACGGATTTTAAGAAAAAAAGTCAAGAGTAAAAAATTGAAGAGAAGAAAATTTCCTACCACATAGGTGAAGAACCAAAATTTTTAGAATTTCAGTGGCGCAGGTGCGAATTCTTTAATTTAGGAGGATTGTTTTAATAACCCACCATTCGGTGTTTAACTTCAAATGAAAGCATTTTTGAGATAAATCTCGAGACCAAAAAATTGTTTAGGATACAAGTTCCTATAAAAACGATCTTTTTAATAAAGATAAGTTACCAGTGGCGGAGATAATTTTTTTAAATGTGCGTTTTTTACATTTTAAAAACATTGAATAAGAAAAATTGCAGTTTTACAAATAACTTCAAATGAAATAGGTATATTGAAGAATTTACACGTTTAATAACAAAATAAGAAAAACAGCTCAAAAATAGGATAACTTATCTTAAGGATAGTCCTCATTCATTTCCACATTTGTTGGGTTCATACATCTAATGCCATTGCATTGACCACATGCCATAATGCAGGTGAGTCCCATTCGCTTGCATGCACATGCTTTTTTACAGCCTCCTGAAGTGCAATTGCAAAATTTTTTCTCTAAAACCCATGTAGGAGCAATGGGCTGGTTTGAATGTATTGGATTCATCCTCTCTATTTTTCAGATTCCAACCCCAATCTTGCGGTGGTAAATTGTTATTTAACCAAGGCTGTACCCTGCGATATTTTCAGATCTGTTTTCTCAATACTATAATTATATAACATATCACTATGGTAAAAATGTCACTGTTGTTTTTGATGGCTATGAAGAGATAGAATGTGGAGCATTGTGGAGCAGAATCGCAGATCTGCAGGTAAAAAAATGGTACCAATTGTATCTTTCTCGAATTTATATGCAGTGAAGGTACCAAAGGCAGATATTTTGTCAAACAACACCAACAAAAGCAACTTCATTCGTTCGCTCGAAAAAGTATTGTTGGAAAATGGAATCAATGTTAAATTCGCTGATGATGATGTCGATACTCTTATTGTAACTACAGCGGTCACAATAAGTGACAATTTACCAGAAGGGACCGTAGCAGTAGTTAGCGAAGATACGAACATTAGAGTGTTACTGATTCATTATTGCCACAAGAGACTGTTTATGATTCGTCGGGGAAAGGTATAAAATAATACAAATAAAATAATCGACATATCGGCCTTACAACAAAAATTGGGGGATCTGAAGAATGTGATTCTTAGGCCCGGTTGTACCAACGAAGTTCACCGACAGATCAACTGTGAACGACGATCAAAGCAAAAAATGCGTTGTACCAAGCCTGAACGCCGTTCAAATTGCCCGGTCAACTGAACGGTGACATTAGGCGGTTCAAGCGTCGTTCAGGGGTAGACATAACCTTATTATTTGACATATTCCGCTTTTCGTTGTTTTGATTATCGTTTTGTTTATTGTTCTTAAGATTTTTCGTAATGGATCCTTTATTAGGTGAATTAACTGACGACGAAGACTTTTTAGAATTAGTGAGACAACATGAACAGCTAAGGAGACCACAAACAGTACGATTTCGACCAAACAATTTCATTTTCATCATCATGCTTTAACACCAGCTGACATGGTATTTATCACATTAGGGTTCTTAGCATCAGGATGTTTTCTACAATGTTGGTGATATCAGTGGTGTAGACAAGTCTACTACGAGCCGCGTGATTACAAAAGTAACTATAGTTGTACAAAAGTAACTATAGTTACAAAAGTAACTATAGTTACAAAAGTAACTATAGATAGCATCTTTAAGCAAGGACTTTATTAAAATGCTAATGGGAGTGGAAGATAGAAATTCAAAGGCACAAGGATTTTATAATATTTGTCGCTTTCCAAGATGCATAGGAGCAGTTGATTGTACGCATGTGAAGATACAATCTCCTGGAGGGGCAAATGCAGAGAATTACCGCAATAGGAAAGGATTTTTCATTTAATGTCCAAGCAATTTGTGACAGCGATTTGAAAATATCTAACATTGTGTGTAGATGGCCTGGTGCTACACATGATTCAATGATTTTTAGAAATTCTAGAGTAAAGGCTGAGTTTGAAAATGGAGTATATGGAAATAATTTATTACTAGGGAACAGTGGGTATGGAGTAAAACCATACCTAATAACCCCTTTGGCGAATCCAACAACGAGGGCTGAAAACTTATTTAACGAAGCTCAGATAAGAACAAGAAACCCAATAGAAAGGTGTTTTGGTGTACTAAAAAGAAGATTTCCTATATTAGCGACAGGAATCCGTTGTTGATAAACCGTTGTTGAAAATGTTGATAAAGTAGAAGCAATAGTGGTTTCCGCTGCTGTTCTTCATAACATAGCGTGTCATTTTGCAGATCCAACACCATTAGTAACTGATGAAATTGAAGCGGAAATAAACATTGGAAATAATATAGGAGAACATGTTCCAAATGACTTGGGTGATATAAAGAATAGTGTTAGATATAGTTTAATTAATGAATATTTTGAATCACTGTAAATATGTTATTTTACGATATAGAATATATTGCTGAGTATTAATTATTTACATCTAGAACTAATTATTTACGTCTAGAAAATGTTTCAATATTATTTTACTAAAACATTCTTAAAATGTCTTAATGTTTTAAAGTCAAAATAACTGGTTAATTAAATTGTGATTATAATTACCATAAAATAAATTACCATTACATACTCTTGTATATATTTTGATTTATGTATATAATATTTTTTATTGTATGTATAGGATTATTTTTATATTTTTGATAATTCTGATTATAAGTAGATAATTAAATAACAATAATTAATAAATGATATTAAATTAATACAATTCAGTATACTTGTTGTTTGTACTAGATATGTAAAAGAAATAAAACGATATAATATGTATGCATATTTTCAAAATTCATATATATTGTGTGTTAAGTGTTTATATAATATTTTTTAATAATTATATATTTACAGAGTATTTATTGGTCAATTATTTTTTTTATTAGTTCCTTTTTAAATTTTAAAAATTGAATTCTCTCATCATGCTCCCTTTCTTGCTGCCTCTTAAAGGCTTCATGCTTTTCTTGCATTTGAGACATTTTTAAATTGTGCTGCTCTAGGAAACATTTCTTTTGAAGCTCAGCGAGTTCAATTTTTGAACTACTCCAATCTGTTAATTTTTTTTGTTAAACCCCTTACATACCCTCTAAATATAGATTTCACTTTATATAATAATATAATATAAAAAATAAGATGTACAGATGTATGATGTACAGATGTATACTAGCTAGAATGTCTAAAAAGTAAATGAACGAATCGGTCAGCCGCGAACAGGTATTAAAAAGTCGTATTTTATGGCAACAGAAAGGAAAAAAGGTACCATAATTTATATTTTGGGAGAACCCGCTAATCAATGAAACAAACTTTAAAAGCATTTACGCCAACTTATATAAAAACTCCAAAAGTTACTGTGAAATTCAATACCAACATAACAAAGTAAATATTGATCGACGTTCTACTGAACGCGAGTTGGTGCAACGCAATCCAAGTTCAACTTTGACCAACAGATCAGTTGAACTCTCGTTCAATTTATTTTGGTACAACCGGGCCTTAGTGTCCACGCTATATCTGGTTGTGACACAACGTCTGCTGTGTTCAATAAAGGGAAGATTAATTTAGTGAACACCATCCAGAAGAAAAAGTTATGTGAGCTATTAAAAGAGTTTTATAATCCCGAGGCTACAAAGGAGAAGTAAGAAGTTACATCTCAGTTTTTTTATAGCAGCATATGTTAAAAACTCGACAAAAAAAGTAGATTTGGATAGTGCCAGATACATGCTTTATCAACAGTACGTAGCTAAACGAAGTCTTAGTACCAACTTCAACTTGACATGATTACCACCTACCTCCAATAGTGCGAAATATCATGGACTTAGAGTTTTTCTTCAGGTAAGTTAAATTTATGTTGCATTCAAATGTTAAACAAAATTCTCATTTATAACTTACAGGTACAGGCTTGGTTAAATAACAATTTAATACCTCAAGATTGGGGTTAGAAGTTAGGTAATGGCTAGATTCATTATTATACCGTATGGTCGAAAAAAAACGACGTCCAATTGGCTTGTAAATGACTATCGACGACATTCCCCATATAATTTTACATATAAATGACAGCGATCTTCATTTCATAGCCATCGCTGACGCTGTCTTTTTTCGATGTCGTTTTATATAGTTTTTATTTAGTCATTTAGTTTTTTAGTTAGTCATTTTATATGTAGAATTATATGGGGAATGTCATCGATCGTAATTTACAAGCCAACTGGACGTCGTTTTTTTTTCGATTATACTGTATAATAATGAATCTAGCCAATTCCCTTCACACTTGCTTACGGATTCAATGAATAATGTAATTTTTAATATTCATTTGTGAAATTGTCATTTCCAAACAAACAAGGCGCCGTTTTTTTCGATCATACAGTATATATGTATATACACGTTTAAAATATATGTTATTACATTATTTTTTATTTAATTATACATTATACACACGTTAATAAATAAATAATTGTCTTGATAATCAGTCCACTGTGACTGTTAAATAAATTTTGCATTATCGACTTAGATATTCTAATATTATAAAGGTGAGATTATAAAATATAAAATTGTATATGCATTACTCAAAAATGAACGATATATTAGTTTACGTTTTAATAAATATTTTGTACCGTCTAGGTACAAGCTAATTTCTGATGCTACGCCATTGGAAAATTTCGAGTGGTGACAACTTGCCTCACTTTCAGCTGCCGTGTTACCTGTCCCCTCTCTTTCCTTGTCTAAGAAGATAGATGAAACTTAAATAACGGATGACAAGGCGAGACAAACAAGCAAACAATTATTTGCCTGAAACTAAAAATCAACCAATGATGATAATGCGATAAGCGACATATGCTGCAGTGTGATTGTGATAATCTAAGTTTGTGATTGATGCATAAAAATAGAACAATATTTTGTTAATAAGCATTTTCCACTGAACTTCAAAATCAATATTATTTTGTTGTTGTTATTAACAACAAATATATTTAATAATGTAAAAAATATGTTTATTAAATTTTAAATGTTTATCTAATATGTGTAGATCAAATTTTGGTTTGAGGGCGTGAAAATTAGAAAATAAAAACATTAAACTAAAAGAACAAAATATACATATATAAAAAGTAAAGTACTTACAAATAATAGAAAAACAAATAAACTAAATTAAGTGTGGGAGACCTAGATGTCGAGGTGGCTGGATGTCGCTACTTCTGTAAACAAGCAGAAAAACAATACCTGAGCAACCAATTTTACATTAATAAAGCTTATAATATCTAATGGGTACTATTCATGTTAATTAGCTCAGTTTTCAGATAGGTTTGTTCGGGTAGTTAAAACATTCTCTGATAAATGAAACCAAAGAACCATACAAGAATAGATAAATCGTAGACAGTAGAAAATATAAGATATAATATAATACATACATATGCATATGCATATAAAAATATACACACATACAAAGACTAGACACGCAGAGACTAAATCAGAGGCAATGGATATACTATAGCTAGGGTGAAGTAATTATATAATGATGTGTGCACACGGTACGAAGGGATGTCAACGCGCGACGTACCAATCTTCTACCACCAGCGCTAATTACCAGGAACGTGCAATGAGACCAAGGGAAGTCAACGCGCGAGGTCTCTGTTACAAGATAATGAGCTACAGACCTAAAAGCGTACTAAAAGGCCGAAACACTGAAGGGACGTGTACGCGCGACAGTGCCGTATACCTTATGCTTTACTTATATCTCTGGTAAATAAAAGAGTAGCCTTTAAATATTAGGTACATATCACTTTCTTTCATCAGTTCAAGACTGATTGTTACTTTGATTATCTTTGGCTATTATTCAAATGAGTTTATTAATTAAATACTTTTAAAATACTTAAGGCTCAGTAAATAAAATAGTTCAAGACAATAAACAATATACAGCTGTAGAATAGTATTAAGAAATATATAAAATGGTTACTCTGTGAGAACACTCACCCTATTAATTGGACTTCTTATTTCAACACAAGAACACCTTCGACTAGCACAGGCAACGGTCGCTTTGGAAATGAGAGAAGACGGTTCCTTTAGGAGTTAGAGCCATCGAGGTACCATAAAGCTCTGGGAATTTCCCGCCGTAAACGACCCTTAACGGTCACCAGGCAGCATAAATGAATGAATTTATTCTGTTCTTAGATTTTTAATGAATTATTATTTAATTATTGTTTAAAATATTATTTGAAAAATAACTGACTCTTACACTATTAGACTTGGATCAAGACAAATTAATAAAATTGCGTTGATCTCATCAAGGAAATCATCGAAATTGTCAAAATATGAAGAGACAACTGTTAATCGGAATTAAACTGCTTACACTATTTCGCTGAGACAAAAAATGTCAGTGGCACACCTGCATTTTTTAGAAAATTGTTCCAGTGATAACCCATACGCATGTCCCTGGTAAATATTTCGACACTTTTCGAGCTTTAAAATTTGTCGCATTTATAACTTTTACCCTCAAAATTTCATTCAAATCGCTAAAAGTACTTGGAAGAAAATTATAATAAATCGAAAACATTTTACGACTTTAACACCCTGTAACTACGAAACAAAGCAGAATCGGACCTATGTTGATATGAAAAATAAATCCACGAGAAATGGTACATGTTTTTTGAAACACCCTGTATAACGAGTGACTTTTATAATAATTATTAAACTGATAAAACCTAAGTGATATTTTATTTCTTCTTAATAGCCAGAGGTAATAAAGTAATCAAAGAAAGTCATTAATAATCTATTTAGTAAAACCATGAGATAGATAAGAAAATATTTACCTTGGCATTGAATTAGGAGCAGAAAAGAGATCTGTTTTTTTTTGGATCAGAAGAGTTTTAGACCAGAAGACGATTTGATTTAAATGGATTTGGAAATAAGCATCACTTGTTTTGGCAATTTAAAATTATTTTGAGAATAAGAAAAACACATTTTTTGCTGATATATTTTTATTAAGTACTAACTAGATCTGCATGTTAGTGTTCCTGTATTCATGTTAAGTGGTCTTTGCTTGTAAAAGTGATAAACAAGTGTAGGATAACTTCACTCTCTAAAAATTAAAATATATTAGTAATATTAAAAAACGGGTATTATTTTTAAAACTGTAAAAATACTACCTAAAGAAATGATATATTTCTTCTTAAAATATTTGGAATGTGTTTTACAAGGAAATTATTAAATTATTAATATAATAGCTCCCGTATACAGGGTGTTTCACAATTAGTGCGACAAACTGAAACAGGTTGTAGAGGGCATCAAATCAAGTCATTTGAGTATAGGAACCCATGACCGGAAATGTGCCGTTTTGGCAGGAGGTGGAGTGAAACGTAAATTTCAAGTTGCATTATTTATTCAAAACATTTACAAAAACTGCTCAAAGTGACGTCCATTCTGTTGAAGACACAAATGCACACGCCTGGACGGCACTTTGAGCAGTTTTTGTAAATGTTTTGAATAAATAATGCAACTTGAAATTTACGTTTCACTCCACCTCCTGCCAAAACGGCACATTTCCTGACATGGGTTCCTATACTTAAATGACTTGTTTTGATGCCCTCTACAACCCTTTGCCGCACTAATTGTGGGACACCCTGTATAGCGTTTCGACGCCTTGGGAGTAGCAAGGTACAGCTTGCCATGCTAGAGCCGTTCGGTATACAAGGAAGGTAATATGGCTAGCACTACGCTTCAACCGCCTATTATTACCTCAGGATTGTGAATCCCAAGTACTCGTTTAAGGCTGAGTCGACCTAGGTACAAAAACTATATTTATTTTATTAAAAATAGTTGGCTGATGAACTGCCGGCTGTATAGGATTCGAACCCACAACCTTTAGATTGGTAGACAAGAGCTGTACCCCTATGCCATCGGGAACCACGATTTAATAATTAAATTATTAACTATCCAAATTTTACTTTGTAGTTTAAGGAGCGTCTACTAGAATGTAGAATGTTTGGGAGAAGGATTAATTTCCGCGACCTTACATTTCTAGTGTGCGTCTCCCTTTCTTGAGATATAACTTATCATACTGTTTCAGGGCTTTGACAAAAGCCAGTATCTGAGACGGCTTCACAGAGACTAGTTCTCCATCTCTGATACCAAAGTTTATGGCACGAATGGTTGTCGTCTCGGCGCCCTCGGCGATGAGTTGTTTCCCTATTCTCCCTACAGAATCTGCATGCGCCGTTGTTTTTTAGCTTCAATCTACTGAGGTGTTCGTTGATGAGACAGTTTCCTGTTAAAAACCCCGTGACAATCCGAGGATTGTTTTTACTTAAATTAAGGAAAATCTTTGATTTTTCTCGATCGTAAGTTCTGAGAATTTTGGGCTAACTACTCTTATCGCTGTCCCTGCTTTGGTTTTGGAAGCATAGCTATACCACGTTATGGTATGAAATTTTACCTACTGAACAAGCGTTTGTCTCTTCCAGTCCTTTTTATTGCTCAATACTACAGTGAGGTGTTTCTCAAAGTTGTACAGGGTGGGTCAAATTGGACGCTTTTAAAAGGAAACACCCTTTTCTGTAGGAGATAGACGAAAACTAATGTCGGTGTCTGGAGCTCAATTTTTATCAAAAACATGATGGTGAAAACCGCACATCGATATCTGTTACCGTTTCGGAGTTACGGGGCGTTTTTCAAAAATGTGCGTTTTTAACATAGACTTAAAATAAAATATAGACTGAGCATCTCATTCATAAATAGCTGGAACATGCGGTCAGATACTGTCTTGTTATTGTTGTGTTATTGTTTTAGGTTATAACGAGTGCGACACGAGCGATAGATAGGTTGTCTCTGTCATAACGGTCGTTCCCTGACGACTCTGCCGAAAAACACAACACTGTCTTTCGTTTCTCAAGTACACCTGAACTCTTCGTATCATAGCCGGGTAATTTTTTTATTTTAATGAAGCTATAATTAAATTAAAAATATATCGTATTTAAACTTTTTTAAATTTTATTAAGATTTAGGACAGGTTTTTTAAATAAAAGTTTAGAAAAAACAATTTAGAGTCCCAAAAGGATAAAAATAATAAAATACACGTTATAGAAGAAATTTTATAATCGAAATTAGGTAATTTTTGAAATTAATAATAAATTATTAATTTTAGTCAAACATTTACAACCCCTAATATTAATCAAAACAGGATCTATTCCACAGATATAATAGAATCGGCGACAGGGAGAGAAAAAAAAATATGATTGTTGTAATTTTTTTTCTGGTTAAGTGATGTCTTATTATGTAAATTAGAGAAAACATAAATCTGTTCCATTAAAGCAAGGAAGGTGATAGGAAGTGGATAAAATAAAAACTACATTTATTTAACTCGGTACTGTCTTTATTATACCGGGTGCGTCTCAAAAGTGGCTCATCCCTATAATTTTTTTATATTTTTAAATAAAAAAACAAGATTTAGTATGTTAGTATATGAAATAAATTAGGATTGATTGACGCATTCAATTGTTTTTGGTCACTTCCTGTTTCACCGGAAATGACTATAACTTTTAATTTTTAAACGGCACCCTCGGTATATTTCTACTTTATTCGATAGAAAATGACACTCTGAATAGAATGACATATCATATGTCAACTTTTGACATTTTCGCATATGGTTTAATTGTAATTGTAACACGCGGTTCATAACGACAATTTGGCTCGAAATACCAAGTGTGTGGTATCAATATATTCATAAAAAAATGCCTTTTCCAAATATGCTAATGAGTCACCCTTGTTCCATTTGCAAAATTGACATATGTATGATTAAAAATACGATTTGTACATCTTTTAACCGGCCTAGACAAGACACGAAACCTATTAGACGATCAAAACTATTTTCCAAGGCTCCTTGATTAAAACTTAGTGGATTGAAAAACTGGATTGAAATTTAAAATAGGATATGTTTTTAAGCGACAATGTCAAAAGTTGACATATGATATGTCATTCTATTCAGAGTGTCATTTTTTATCGAATAAAGTAGCAATATACCGAGGGTGCCTTTAAAAATCAAAAGATGTAATCATTTCGGTGAAACAGAAAGAGACCAAAAACAATTGAATACGTCAATAAATCCTAATTTATGTCATATACCTACTAACATACAAATCTGTTTTTTTTTATCTGAAAAAATAAAAAAAGTTATAGGGTTGAGCCACTTTTGAGACGACCCGGTATATTAAAAAATATTGTTTCATAATGTAATATCATTTTAAAATTCTTGTATGTTATTTTAGATTCTGAAGATAATTTTAGAATAAACCGGAAAACATTATTAATTATTAACAGGGTTATAATTATGATTTTGTTACAATGTAAGTAAGTAAATAATGTAATGTAAAATAAAATTTTGAAAAAATTCAGATTTTACATTTTACTAAAATATTATCTAAATAAGCGCCTTTCAACAACAACGCCACTGACTGCCAATGGGTAAATTGAGAGTTGCCTACCGGTCAAAAGTCGTTTCAAGACTTAAATGGATTATTTAAGTCAAATTTCTTGCAAATTTGGCACTGGCGAACCATATTTTATAGTTTTTGAACAGAAAAAGTCAATAAAATAAACACTTAAGGACTACAAGCTAAGAAAATGCGTTAATACAGCCGGGGAGATAGCGGCAACAAAGCTTTACCGCACACGTGCGACACGTACTACAAGGTAATAAATGAATGAATAGGCTCCCTCGCCTCTAATCGGTGTTGTCATATTGTAAAGAACTTATCCTTATTAAACAGTATCCGACTTATAATTTAGTAGTATAAGGACTATTTAATACATCTATGGAATATTAAAACCTACTTTATTAAACTGTAGTATTAATATCTCAATATATGTGTATAAGAAGAAAAAAAATATTGATAATATTAAAGACGTGACAACATAGGCTGGATGAGGAAGGCTCGGTCGGCTGTACCCAGAAGTAAACATGTGTACAAAAAAGGTTGTTTGTCCGCGTTGAGATGTAAATAGTGTAGTCTATATTTTATTTTAAGTCTATGGTTTTTAACAAATCGCTGTAAGTTTTTTGCTATGGAAAATTTTGCATTTCAATGAAAACATTTCCAAAGCACCTTTTTACGTAGAATTTAATGGTTTAAGTATAATTTTTTCAAAATTAATAATTTAAAAATTATCAACAGAAAATTTGATTTTTTATATGAGACACCCTGTATATTTTTAATTCATAGAAAAGAATTTAAAATTACCTTTCAAAAAATATAGCATGCTTGACGGTTGGGGCTCGTAAAACCAAAATGTTTCTGGCTTGTAGAATATAACAGGCCAATATTTTAAACGTAGAATTGATAGTAATGTCTGAATTCCAGCATGGAAGTTTCTAATATGTGAATCTAAAATTATTAAGTCCGTTAACTTGTGTTTGTAGGGTAATATTATCGGGTGTTGCTGATCGTAACTGACATTTGCGTTTGATAATCTACCGCCGACTCGTAATATGCCTTTAGAATCTAAGAACGGGTGTAAGCTTAGTATTTTACTATTTTTATGTACGTTTCTACTATTTTTCGATTCAAGTACTGATATTTCCTCCGTAAAACATTCGCGCTGTGCTAGTCGTATTAACATTTCCTGTGTTTCGTTAAGTTTTTTTTTGAGGTTCAAGTTAACGTCTCCTTTCTGCTGCAATGGCTAAACTGGACGGGACCTACTTGTTTACGCGGAATCCGAACCGCGGTCCTCGGCCATATCATGGTCAATGGCCTACCGACTTAGGAAGTGTCTAAATTAACTCTTACTCATCTCATCCGGCCTTGAACCGGCGTGAATGAGCAGTGTGTATCAATAGATTTTACACTTTTCCCTTTTGGACAACAGCACGATGCAAAGTTTCGAACCGGTCACCCGTCCATCCACTAGCATCGCCTTACGTCGCTTAACTTCGGTGTTCTAATGGGAACCGGTGTTTCGAAGGAGCTGGGCCGTTGCCCGTTTCGTTAAGTTCCTGTATGCTAAGATTTTCTGATGATATAGGGACTTTCAATAAACAACGATTTTTTAATCTACGCACGTATCCAAAAACACGTACTAATTTCC